CCTTAAAGTTAATCGATTCAAGATGTCGAATGTTACTGACTCGGGTTCTCCTTTCTACATTCATCCGTCGGACACCCCAGGTTCAACTCTAATTTTAGAACAACTTACTGGAACAGAAAATTATGGGATATGGAGTCGTATGATGACAGTCTCTCTAAGGGCGAAGAACAAATTGGGCTTTGTTGACGGATCTTGTGAGAAGTCAAAATTCAATGAGTCTTTGTATGCACAGTGGGAACGTTGTAACTCCTTAGTTTTGGCATGAATTTTTAACATCGTGTCGAAGGAGATATTCAACAGTATTGTGTACTCTGCCAGTGCTCATCAGGTCTGGCAAGATCTTCAAGAACAATACAATAAAGTCAATGGTACGAGAGTGTTTGGTATTCACAGAGAGGTAGCTAATTTGGTACAAGGAACAAGTACAATTGCAGTTTATTACAACAAATTGAAAACTCTATGGGATGAATTGAGTTCATTGGTTAGTTTGCCGCCACCAGATAGTGAGTCAGCCAAGGCTTATTTGGCTCATCTCAACCAACAAAAGCTATTATAGTCACTAATGGGACTTAATGAATCATATGCCTTGGTGCGAAGCCAGAGTTTGTTGATCATTCCTTTGCCATCAGTTAAACAGGCTTATTCAATAGTGAGTCAATATGAGAGTCAGAAGGTATTGACTGGATTCAATCATAATATCGAAGTTACTACAACACTGTACTCATAAGGGAATCAAAGGAATCAACCTCAAAATTCGAAATACAAAAGGAAGAAACCCTACATAGAATGTGACTATTGTCATATTGCTAGGCATAAAAGGGATACTTGTTACAAATTGCATGGCTATCCTATAGATTTCCAGTTTAATAAAGGAAGTCAGGAGAAGGTCAAAGCTAATCATGTTCACTCAAGTTAGGAGCAAGTGTTAAACACTGATTTTGCACCTGACAATAACAAAGGAGGAACTAATCTAGGCAATGTCTTGACTCCAGAACAATATGCACAATTGCTTCAGTAATCGGGAAAGGAGAACATGGGAGCACCGTTTGCTAATCTAGCAGGTAAAATCGTTTCCTTATACTCAAATTACAATACTGCTGATGATTGGATTCTAGATTCTAGTGCTACTGACCATATGACCTATAATTTCCAAAATTTTGAGTCTTCTATTACTAGTAAACCATCCATAGCTAGTTATGTAGGTCTCCCAAATGGAACAAAAACCTCAATTGAACATGTTGGTTCTGTCAAATTGCAAGAAAATTTGTCCCTTGAAAAGGTTTTATATATACCAGATTTTAAGTACAATTTGATGTCAGTATCTAAATTGGCTACTACCAGTCAATGTTCCATCATTTTTTATCCACATTTTTGTGTTATTCAGGATCTTTGGAGTGGCAAACTGAAGGGGATTGGTAAACAATGTCAGGGGCTATATCATTTCATACCAATGTCAAAATTAAAATTGTATTTTCCTGATTTTGTTTCAGCTTTAGGAAAGGGCTTTGACATACAAAAGTCTGATTGTAATAAATTGTCAGTTTGCAATTCTATCAATGTAGCTATTAATTCGTCAATAAAAGAACCTCTTCAAGCTAAATATATTGTTCTTTGGCATAGAAGGTTAGGACATGCATCTTTGCCAATTCTACAAACCTTACATCATGGACTTAATGATCACCACAAGTTTCATTGTGATGTTTGTCCCTTAGCTAAACAAACTAGATTACCCTTTGCTTTAAGTGAAACAACAACATCACATGTTTTTGAACTGCTGCATTTTGATGTTTGGGGCCCTTATAGAGTTGCAACCTAGGGTAATGCAAGGTTTTTTCTTACGATTGTTGATGATTTTACTAGGACCACTTGGATCTTTCTTATGCAATTCAAGTCTAATGTCTTTCAAACCTTAAAAAACTTTGTGCATATGGTCCAAAATCAATACAATCAAACACCTAAATATATTAGAATTGACAATGGATTGGAATTTTTCAACCAACAATGTCATGATTTATTGTCTAGGTTAGGCATTATACATCAAAGCACTTGTATCTACACTCCACAGCAAAATGGAGTGGTAGAACGCAAGCATAGACACATTCTTAACATAGCTAGAGCCTTTAAGTTTCAATCTCATATTCCATATTACTTATGGGGCTGTGCAGTCAAAGCTGCTGTCTATATTATTAATAGTCTGCCTACCAAAGTTTTGAATGGTTTTTCCCCTTTTGAAAAATTTTATGATCACAAGCCTAAGTTAGAACATTTGAAAGTTTTTGGCTGTTTGGCATATGCTACAAATCTGCCTATCCAGGATAAGTTTGCTCCAAGATCCATTCCTTGTGTCTTTCTTGGCTATTCATTCACCAACAAGGGCTATATACTATATAATTTGTACTCCAAAACAGTATGTGTCAATCGAGATATTAAATTTCATGAGCACATTTTTCCTTTTCTTTTGCATCAGTCCACTAAACCTCCCTTACCTTTTCTTGAAACTTCCATGGAAGAAGAAGTAACTACATCATCTGATTCAATTTTGCATACCAATTCTACAAATGATCTTCATGAGACAGAACCACCTACACCTAGTTCTCCAGTTTCCCATTTACACGTTGTTATACCTGATATTCCCTTACCTTCTCACAATCAAATTAGAAAGTTCAGTAGACCCACTAAACCCCCCTTTTGGACCACTAATTTTCTGTGTCCCACTTTGTCCAAGTCAAATCAGACCTCCACTGTCAACTATCCTATGCACAATTACATTACCTATACTAATCTTTCTTCTGCCTACCAAAAGTGTCTATCCAGTATTTCTGCTATCATTGAACCCACATCCTTTACCCAAGCATCCAAAGATCCCAATTGGATTAAAGCTATGCAACAGGAAATTCAAGCTTTGGAAAGAAATGGCACTTGGTTTCTAATTCCCCTGCCTTCTGGTAAGAAGTCAATAGGGTGTAAATGGGTGTATAAGCTTAAGCATAATGCTGATGGGACTTTGGAAAGGTATAAGGCCAGGTTAGTGGCCAAAGGGTTTTACTCAGCAGGCTGGAATTGATTATGAGGAGACATTCTCTCCTGTAGTAAAGATGGTGACAGTGAGGTTAGTCTTGGCCATTGCATCCATGAAAGATTGGCCTCTTTTTTATTTAGTTGTTGATAATGCATTCTTACAGGGAGATCTTCAAGAGGAAATATACATGAATTTGCCACAAGGTTTCTCAAATCAACCTGACAAGTCCTTAGTTTGTAAACTTCACAAGTCCTTATATGGCTTAAAACAAGCCTCTAGGGCCTGGAATACTGAGCTCACAAATGCCTTGTTGATAGGTGGTTTTCAACAATCCCCGTTGGATCACTACTTCTTTTTTAGGAAACATAATGGACACATTGTTATCTTACTTGTGTATGTTGATGACTTGGTCCTCACTGGCAGTGACAGTTCCCTAATTCAAGCTACTAAGGATCTCTTACATTCTCATTTCAAGCTAAGGACTTAGGCTCTCTTAGATATTTTTTAGGTTTTGAAGTTGCTCGATCCTCCAAAGGTATAAGTCTATGTCAAAGGAAATATGATTTGGAATTGATAGCTGATTTAGGATTAGCTGCTGCCAAACCAGCTTTGGTTCCTCTTGATCCTCATCTAAAATTCACTAATGTTGAGTATAATGTAGTCTTTCCTGGCCAATAGGATCCAGCCTTAGCTGATCCCTCGGTATATCAAAAATTGATTAGAAAATTGCTTTATTTGTGTCTCACTAGGCCTGATCTCAGTTTTGCAATAAACCTCCTCAGCCAATTTATGCATAAACCTAAACAATCACATCTACATGCTGCCCTTAAGATAGTCAGATATGTGAAAGGGTCTCCAGGTTTGGGTTTATTTTTCCCAGCACATGGCTCCTTGCATCTTCAAGCATTTTGTGACTCTGATTGGGCTTCTTGCCTTATGACTCGTAAATTAGTGACTGGTTTCTGCATTTTCTTAGGAAATTCCTTGTTGTCCTGGAAATCTAAACATCAAGTTACGGTTTCTAGATCATCCTCTGACGCTGAATATCGTGCCATGACATCCACTGTTTGTGAAATTATTTGGCTTACTCAGCTTCTGCATGACCTTGGTTTCTCACTATAGCTGCCCATTTCCCTTGGCTGTGACAATCAATCAGCCATTCACATTGCTTCTAATCCTATGTTCCATGAACGGACGAAGCACATCGATATTGATTGCCACATCGTTCGTACAAAGTTTAAAGAGGGTTTGGTGCATCATGTCCATGTTCCCACACAAGAGCAGCCTGCTAATTTGTTTACTAGGGCTGTTCCTCCTTCTCTTCATCGCCATTTATTGTCCAAGTTGGGGGTGCTTGACATTCATCACCCACCACCTTGAGGGGGGATTTTGGATTATTGATTAATTGTTGTAATTAGTTAACAAAGTAGTTAATTAGTTTTATAGTTAGTTAACTGCTGTTATGGTTAGTTAGAATGCTGTTATGGTTTAGTTAGAAATAATTGACTATGGTTAACCTAACCATAGTTACTGCAGATCGTATATAACTGTAAATAACTCTTGTACAGTTAACCTTTCAGCTGAATAAAAAAATTCACTTTACTTTCTCTCTGAAACAGACTCGAACAGCTGCAAAGTCGTACCTTGTGAACTGCACCAAAACCGCCCTTCCCAAGCACATTTGTAGTTGAGAAATTGTTTGTAGCAGCAGCGATGGTTTGAAACTTAAATATATTGAGTTCATGCTTGATATTGCGATTTTTGTCTTCCGTTATTCGTTTGCCGTCTGCTAATGAAGGTGACAAATTGTCTCCAAATTCACGCAATAGCTTCTCTGGGTTCTTTATGTTCTCCACTAAATTAGATACATAGAAATAAGATTCTAATAATCATGATTGATAATTTGCAATTATATTTATTTGTTCCAAGCTCTTTACCTTTTGCCTTGCGTATTCTCCATATCAAACAGCATAAGTAGCAGAACAGGGAACCAGTAGAGCTGCTCCTACTATAATCAATGATAACCACCATTTGTCTTCTGTATCGGAAAATTTTCAAAATTTAATTTGATTGCTAATAGTAAAGAGTACTGTTAAGGATTCTGATTTGATTGAGAAAAAAGAAAGAAAGGAAAATCAAGATAGAGATGAGAAAACACTTCAGGGGATGACTTTTGTTATATTTTATCAACGAAATGATATTGTCATAGTTTTTTCTTGAAAAAGAAAAATGGTGTTAGTACCTCGTTTTCTTCTTTTAAAGCTCCACAAAATAGCTATTGCAGTTGAGAGGACAGAAATTGAAACAACTGCTGCTGCTACTGGAAAAATAAACTTCTTCTTCTTTTTATGTGAACTTGGAATGTAAAGATCTTGATTCCCGTCCACACTAGAATCAACAGAAGATTAAACAACATAGACTTGAAATGATAACAACGTTGTAGAATAGATATTAACTTTGGACCAAAAGCTAACCTTAGTGACAGCAAACCTTTTTCCATTTTCTCCATGAGTCTAGCTGGAACTGAACCTTTGAGTTTGTTCCTACTCAGGTTTCTGCGAATGGACAGTAAAGACAATCTTTGGCGCCCTTAACCATTAAACTCTACTTTCTGACATGATTATTTCTGAGTAACTTACAGCACTGTCAAGAATGGTAAATCTGATAGAAAATCAGGCACTGGTCCCGTCAAACTGTTGTCTGATAAGTCCCTGCCATGATGATTGAATTAATTTAGCTTACTTAGCTCCTATCACTAATAGCTCAGGATAATGTTATAAGAGAGAAGCTCACAAAATTTTCATTGATGTGAGATTGGATATCCATGGATCTATCTCCCCAGCTATTCCACTTAGTGATAAGTCCCTAGAGCCATTTCTTTAACAGCAGGAGATCATCAACATTAAAGAGTGGGCTTCTAGCTTCTAGGTGTAAACTTACAGGGATATGATCGTTGGTGGTTTATATTCATTGTAGCTGCAATTAAGACCTTGCCACAAATAAGCTTTAGGGGCACATGGATCTCCTTGCCAGTTTCTTATCACTCCATATATATTGCCTTTATCTTCAGGATTGCATCAGCTAATAATTTGTTACATTGCAGTAAACACTGATCAAGTAAACGTGAATAATCTAAAATAAATAAATGAAGTTTGAAACGTACCATCTTGTTGATCAGCTAACAATTGTGGGAATTCTTTTGTAGTATATATCTCAAAAGCGTTGAGAATGGGCGGTTGAGTTGAATTCTCGGTTTGGTTGATTGAGACATTGATTGTATTTTCAACCGAGGGATCATCAATAACTACTGTTGTTGTGTAGGAAGAATTGGGAATAAAAGGCCCATACCAAAGCTTTCCATTCGCAAAGATGTTCATCTCTCTACTTTGGTTATCTTCTTTGACTTCAACATCCAAAAAATGGCAATACACATAATATTGAACTTTCCGATCAGTAATTTGCCAGTAAAATTGCAGGGAATTGCCATCATTTGTGGGAATAACAGCAGTCCTCATGATTTCAGATGGGAGTTGATAATTAGTCTGGTTGAAAGTGACCAAGTTACTTACTGGTTCCCATTTGATGTAGGTGTAGGGTAACCATTTGCGATCATAAGCATCCTTTTTATGCCTATATAAATGTAATAAACACTTTCAGTTAGTAACCAAGATTAGATCAACTTAGAGATTAAATTTAGGTGATTCTAAATTATTTACCTGACTACTTGATTGGATGTTGAACCGATATCCCAACGCCCCACGAGTAGTAATGATTCTGATTTCGTTACATAACTAGAATTTATCAATGGCCTTAATTCTAATGCTGAAATGAAAGGTGTTCCAGAGCCTATGTTTAGAAGACAGACATGTATATAATTTCTCTGAGACATGTGGATGATCTCCTTGGTAATAATCGAAGATGTTTTTTCTAATACCACTGAATCCCACCCATCAGAATCAAGAAATAGATTAAAACTTGGCACAATGCCTTGCCCATCATAGTTTCCATACATGAATCTTGCTCTGATCAGAAACTTATCGTAGCCACCTTCAGGTTTTAGGGTGTAACAATTTCTTGTTTCCTCAGGGAAGCTTCTAACACTTAAAAATTGTTTCTCAAGGGTGGAAGTTTTGTATTCAGATGATATATTATAGCCTATACCACTCTCTGTGAAGCCTGCATCTGAAGAGTAATTTATACCTGTTATCTCATCAATATAGCCAGGATCATTTTCAGGTATTCCACAATCTATGCTAATAAAACCTGAGAGAAGATAAACAAAAAGATAAATTAACAGATAAGCTGATTGCATGTATGGTAATTAAGAATATTTAAAATTGGAGGTACAAAAACCTGATTGATTCTGGGCATAAACCAGAGCTGTAAAAGCTACTATGCCAAGAAATGCAGAGAACAAATATTGCTTTATCATCTCCATGATTCCCAGCTTGGTTTCTTGCCAGAAGCAATTATACATCGTTGTATAATCAATTTGTAATGAAGTGGTAAAACAATGAGCACTATTAATTATAGAATCTGTGTCCAATTTCCTTAAGCATGTTCATGTCTGTTAGCAGATCTCTGGATATTATTCAACAGGAATGTTACTACCATGATTCATTTTCAACTTCAAATGTATTTAAAAAAAAATAATTAGAACATTCAATTTCAATTGCGTATGTTGAAAGCTATTCACCAAGGTGTGAGATTCCTCGTGAAAATGACATCTTCATAATTTTTATTGTGAGGGTTGTATTTTTTCAATTTTCATTGACTTAAACTCTGGAGTTGAAGCCATCTTGAGTCCCCAACTCACCACGTATACTAGGAAAAGTATTGATTGGGTCAGTTTTAGTATTTTGATTGGACAACATTACCGATATTATAATCATGATATCCATGAACTTGTCAAAGGGGATAACATCAGTTGTAGGAATAAAAAAAACAAGCAAAAAACAGAACAAAAAGAAGAAAGAAATATTTTAAGAGTAATTAAAACTAAAGGAAATTACATGTATAGGAAATTATTTCTGGATTTGGAACTAAATAAAAAATTAAGTTATAGACCCATATATCCTCTGATCCTCTGCTGTCCTCTCTGTTTTTTACAGAGTTTCAGTCATGTTCTGTATTTCTTGTACTTTCACTCATTAAAAATCAGAAACTACATCCAACAAGTTACGTTGTGTTTTAACTAAAATATTTGTAACAATACCATTGGCGGAGTAAGAGTTTCAGGATTTCACAGAATGTATACAAGTTCTTTGACAACACTTCAGTCAGTTTCATCTTTACAGGAAAAAGAAAAGATGCATTCATCAACTACAATAGGAGATGAAAGTGAAAAGCCAAAGAAAATGACACATGAAGATGAAAGGGACACCATTATAATGTGACCCACAAAAATATTTAACTATCAAGTCAATAGAAAAGCCAAAAAGTTGGTGGAACATTGAATAACTCAAGAAGACAAATTGATGCTTACATCACAATCACAGTAATCAACTTTACAAGGTAGAATTTGAGTTAAACAATTAGGGCAAAGTACGTAAATGGAGAAAATCAATATTTAAGAGAAATTATATCTAAACTTCATTCATTATGTCTTTATGTTTATAAGGTTCAAAGATCTGATGCTTCGGCCTTAAAAGCAATTACATTATTTTAAACCTTTATGGTGCGGTAGAAGAAGAATTTTCCACAAAGTGTTCCAGATAATTTGTCTGAGGAAGAACCCAAGAAAATGACTCATTAAGGTGAAAGGGATACCAGTATAAATATAATCTGACTCCAGAACAAGCTATTATCTATTAAAGTCAATGGAAAAAAACAAAAAAGTTGGTAGAACTTGAATAACTAAACAAGATCATACTGTGCAGGGATGCAACTACCTTTTGATAGTTTGCCTGATGCAATGGTACATTTCTTCTGGTTACTTAGAAAAATTTAATCCTCTAATGGATCAAGTTACTCTTACATTATTTAACTTCTGAGGCTACACAGTTCTAGCAATTCTCTGCAGATAATATTGGTTTGTTCTAATTTTTCCAGCAAATCGTTCTCGAAAAGAAATGATTTATTTGCTATGAATTCATTCTTTTTAATATGCTTATATATATAATATAACCTACAAAAAAATATTTATATAGCTACAAGTTTTAATTCATTTACAAAAGTAATAAAGTATTTTTGATGTTTATAACTTAGACCAAAAAATAAAAAAGCACTTTCAGAAAGAAAGTTTCAGCAGTTTTAAAAGCCTTTATTTTAATTATTTTTTTTTTTGGGAGGTATGTTAATATTAGCATTCCAACTACAGAAGGTACTTCTGTAACATAGAGTATTGTGTTCTTCTTTGTCCTGTTTATATTTTAATAAGCTTATGTACAAACTACTCTGTCTGCCCTGTTCTGTTGATCAGTTTTAACTTCAGTTGTTTTAAGTTGGATAATGTTGAGTGAGCTTATTTGGTTTGTATAGAACGGGTATTCATTGATCACTTTGACTAGAGGTCGGCTTCATTGGTTGGAAAGTATATAATAAACGGTTCCCTTAACCCATACGTTAGCGAAGAGTTTATTTTATTTTGCTTATAAATATAAATCAAACCTCTCACACTATCATGTGAACATGACTTGATCTTCAACAACTCTTGTTCAGTTCCAAGAGATGCAATAAGCTGATGTACAGAAAGAATTTGATAAAAAAACAATTGGCATTTGTAAGTATTTTTGTTTTGTCAACTTATTCATTTAGATTAGTGCACAATCTATTTAATTTCACTTCAAAGGTGTTCAAAACTAAATCGCAGTGATCACAACACGTCTGTCGGATTTTATTTTAATATTCATGCATATCGCACATGCCTTAATTAAATGTGATTATATTTCCAGTTGTAGAAAGATTTTTTGTGGATATTATATATTATGTGAGCTGGAAAAGATTTTATTTAATTATGATTTCAAGAATCATTTTCCTAAAAAGAAGATTATGATTCTAACAATTATTTTCTTATAAAGAGATTATAAATTAAAGAATTCTTTCATACAAAGAAGTCTAGGATCTCAAGAATCCTTTCCAAAACAGGTTTGGTTTCTTGTTTATCCTTTCAAAGTCACTCAAGTATAAATAATCATTTTATTATTGTGACTTGTTTGGAAGGAAGCCATATTATTTACCTCCATTATTCTTTGAATATTTTCTTTGAGGTTGTTTAGTTTTTGTAGGTTTCTAATATACTTTGGTAGGCTTTGAATTACCATGTTTTATCTCTTGCTTGCATGAGTTGATTCTGGAACGCTGTTTTGTGTTGAGATTTGGACGTGTTCGAGCTGCTTCTGTCGAAGTAATTCGTCATGTTGAAACTTGAGAGGAGCTCAAGTGCGACCTGGTGGTCCCATGGAGGAGAAGATAGACTATGAAAATTTGAGGTTTAACCAAAGAGTGAAGATTGAAGTGTTGTCTAAATAGGGAGTTTTTACAATTGATACTTATTCTTGTCTTTGTAATTGAACACATAATTATTTCATAGTGGATTAGCTTCTTCTGAACTTGGTCCTATGGATGTAGGCATGTTGCCGAACCATGTAAAATTGAGTTGTGTGCTTTATTTTATGTCATGGATAGTTTATATGTTTAATCATTAGTTTAGCAACTCATTAAGCACAACATGAACAAGCAATCTTAATTCTGCATAAGTTTTAATCAGCATGATAAGGGTTTAAAACTTTCAATTGGTATTAGAGCATGTTCTGAAGACTTATTTTAGTAGATCATTGCTTGTTTTTTTGTGCTTAAATTTGATTTGGTGGTTGTTGCTT